CTGTTCGAAAGCAGTGGAAAGCAAATCCATCAGCCAACTCGGATCAACTCCATCTTCCGAGGATCTAGCCCGCCAAGGGTCTGGCCGTTTCCCAACACTTTGCCTGGAAGAGATGCTCGCAGCACAGCCGTCAAATCGACCCTCACGCTGTGGTCAAACTTTGCTGCATCGGGCTACTTTGAATGCAACTTCGACATGACAACACCTTCCACACGGTACAAAAAGTCAGCTGGAAGCTCTGAATAGATCTCTTGATGTTACGATAGTGCATATAAATAACAATCCGAATATGCACTTTTATGCACTTTTTGGTGATCCTTACGCAGCGAGTTTGAGCGAGGCTGCACGGAAATGATGCTTTTATGTTGAAGACGCTGCTATGCCTAGTCTGGACTGTCAGGGATTTTCACAACAGGTGCCATGTGCAAACGGAGCATTTTTGTCACAGCGCAAGCAGCACGTCCAGCTGCGCGATGATGCTTCTGCAACTCATGAGACTGTATTTGCCGTCTTCTTGGCGTTTCGCCCACGAAGTACATTTCCGAAACCCCTGAGCACCTTCGGCGTCTGGACATATTTGGAGCAGCACGTTGGCCATCTGCTCAAGGTTCTCATTCATCCTCGGCTTTCTGGCCTTGTCCTGGTTCTTCAGCTCGCCTGAAGATTTCGGTTTGCCAAACCGGCACTGGGCTGCGATGTACTCGAGCTCGTCACCACTCATTCGCTTCACGGGAATTAGCAGGCCGTGGTGAGCACTCTTTTTCAGAAGATTGGACTTTATGGCCTTTCCAACAGGATCCAAGACAGTCGCTTCAAACTTTGAGAGCTCTACCCCATGGCTCCAGCAAACGTGGAAGGGTTCCAGCACTTTCTGTAGATGCTCATCCTTTGTGGGATAGATCTCCAGGAAAGGAACCCACGTGCTGTCGGCTTCAAAGTTACCTTGCAGGCAATAAAGGCGAAATCTGGCCACTAGGGAGTTTGCAACCATCTGTTCCCACGGCACTCCTCTGGCAAGGGCACCTCGGACCGGACTCTTAACCAACTCCAAGGGATCTGGCAACAGACTCTTCAGATCGATGTTCCAGCCTTCAAGGTGACTTTCCAGCTTGGCGGAGACAGTGGCATCCCGACACCACCAGATGCGTGGGACCAGTACCGTGTGCTCAGCGGGAAATGCTGCTCCTGCATGGAAGATGTCGGACCAAGGAGTGGTTGTTCCAGGCACTGTCTGGTCGCTACAAGTTGCATTCCATCGAACGGCTGAACAGAGAACGATTGCCAAAGCGGTCTCAATGTCTTCGCGAAACAAAGGTGCTGCAGACTTGTACGACTCCCGGAAACACTTCGACATCTCATTCAATGCAATTTCGGCGCTTGCCCTTGCCAACTCCCCGTCTGCCTGGAACGCAAACTGCAGAAGTCGAGGAACTCCGCTAGAGAAGAGCATTATCTGGTTGAACGTAAGGTCATCATGAATCGTTTCGTTCCACTGTTCCATGGCCGAGGCAGCAGAGTCTCGAGACAATGGTGCCAGTGCTGGCACGCTACGGACATAAAGGAGTGTGTATACTTGTGCAGGAGCCTGATGCATCACATCCAGCGTGCCTGTGCAGAAGCATGCCATTTGCGCGGGAAGCTTTGCGACAATGTCCGTAAGCAATGACTTTCTTGCTCCCCTGCTCTTTTGTCCCCTGTTGCCTGTCTCAAGGTTTGCGAGGAGTTCTGCTTGATCCAAGAAGATAAGACGAGGGCAGCTGTTCTTGGCCGCGAAGGCCTTTTCCGTGAGAACGAGCCACTGGTCGAGGACGTCGTCCTTGCTGTTACAGAAGGACGCAATCCACCACCCAACACTGCCGTCCAGGGTTGGAGTCGATGGGCTCTGTTCGAGAAGCCTCAACACAGGACCCATGTCCAAGCGCTTGAAGGCAACGCTGTTCCCTTGGCCAACTTCCACGGCGTAGCCGTCGAAGATTTGCAAAAGATGCCAAATGATGATGGCGGAAACCAGTGTATCTGCATCATTTTGTGCATGCTGTGCAAACGTTCCCGCGTCTATCACCAGCAGCCGCCCACATCTGCGGCTCTCGGCATACTGATCCAACTGCGCCAAATGTCGAACGAGCGAAGTCTTGCCCGTGCCCCTAGGGCTCCAAAGAGCCACGAGCCTGGGCTTCTCCAGCGCCTTGCTTTGGGTGCTTTTCAGCTCTGCCAGAACCGTGTTCACGATAGTCTGCCGTTCCAAGAACGGACGATTCTGTTTGTTGTTGATACGTCCATCCAAGAAGCGGCGTTCAAGATCGGGAAGCTCTTCGACATTGCCACTCAGTAGTTCCACCTCCAAGCAGCTGGAAACCCATTGCTAAAGGACGTGACTGCTCCCAACGTCCACCTAGCCTCGCTGAAGACCTGAGTCTAAAATTGCATGGACGCCGCGGTCGTCAATGCCTCGATAGGGCTGGCCGGAGCTGTCGCTTCGTATTGCGTGAGGACGAGTTGCATCAGGGATGACATG